TATTATTGAAGTTAACTGTTCAAACAAGAGTTTCACATATTCAACGTGAATAGTAATAAAACAAGAGTAACCACAACGTGATAAAACAGCAACAATATACAAACAAAACTGTCACGGACCAAACAAACGATAGTCGCATGGCTTAAATTGACTTTTTTTATGGTCGAAAATTACGTGCAGTCCCTCTACTATTCATAACCGACGAAACAGCCTTCAACTGGATGAGTCCAGCACACAAGCACAATTTCTGGAGGAGTACACAAACTCGTATCCCCTCATTCTCTGGACCATTGGTTTTACAAAAACTACATAAAATCGTTTATAACCCTGCTGATAACGCTGGTGTTAAGCTTAAAATTACTCAACGAAAAAACGAGCTTATATCCTTACTGTAAACTTGTCTTGAATGGAGGATCACAAAGCAAAAAGATGTTATATTATCCAAAAATTCGGACATTTTATGAAAAATATTATTACATAAAGTACGCTAGCTTAAAACTTCTGATAGTCACAAAAATTATATATAATGGTCAAAATATAACATAACAAACGCGGCACGTTTAATCATACGGGTCAACCCGATCAGCATGAAAACGTTACGTGCCATACTGATTGTAAACCTTAAAACGGACATGTTTCTAAATATGAGATGGCTATAATCAAAAAATATTTTATGCGCTTGTTATGTACCAAAGCATCAGTTAATTATAGTTAATTTATTGATCTATGGTCGAGACACAAAGCCAACAGTAAAACTGTTATTGATGACGCGCTTCCTTACTCCGATTGCTACGGGATCACTTTTCTGGAGCAACAATAAACGATTTAGCATCGGTCAGTTTCATGCCCACAAACATGGATCAACAAATCAGTTTGAACAACAGATCCGGAAGCAAATGAGTCTAATCATGTTTATTCATACTGTACGATCCGCACGAAAGCAGCCTTCCTTTCGCATCGAGAAAAATTCTTGAAGGGGACCAAATACATGGCAATTTAGTAAAAAACTGAATTTGCAATTTTATTCCTTCAAAGACTTCGTCAACAGTTCTTAGTTTTCAGAACAGATAGAATCAAACAATAAATAAGAAATCACGAATAAACTGCAAAACTGCAAGGCTGAAAAGATGAGACTTCGAATACGAATTCAACAACGTAACGAAAAATAGACCATCAGGAGACAACTGGATGAAACTAACGCACCATACATACCAATAAAGCTCTCTGCTCTGAAGGATTGGATATCTGTCGAGAGAGGCTAAAGCAGCGCGCAAAGCATATTTTTCGTTAATACTGTTGAAAATTAAGCTCCAAGAAACAGTCGTATGAACAGTTGTAACCAAACATTCATTACATACCTTCGTACAAACATTTGTTTCACAACAATGAACCAAAATCGGTTAGCAAACTGACAACTAAAAATTAGAACGTGACAACAGCTCACGACATCTTAAAACTTAAGGATATCATCACAGCACCGACTAATAATATTTTTGTCGAATCTGTCTTCAAAAATTTGTAAACATGCTAGTCAAATATTTATTATCAGCTTTTAAACCATAACTACAGTAAAATTATTGTCACAGCTTTACGACCTGCAGGTTTTGTCATTCAAACGAACAAACTAATTTAGTACACACCACCTCGGTGTGACCTCATCGATAATGGAATGATAAACACAAACATCGCCGTTTTGATCGCTGTTCAGATTTAGCACTGATTTGAAACTAGCCGTTTGCGTAGTAAATTTTTTAAATGATGTCAAATTCTATTCAGGTGAAACAAATGTGGTCGAGATTAAAGTAATGAACAGCCATTGTTTAACGGAAACGTGACGTAATTCAGTTATTCTTATATTGGCTTGCATCATAAGAAACCTATGTATCTGGCTAGTAATTAGCGTAGATTAAAAAATAGCGCTAAGCATAACGGCAAAAAATGATGTGGTCAGACCTGTAATTGACCAATGCTTACGTTTCCGACCGTCTCTAAAGGTTCTTCTTCAAGGTTTGTTGCTGGTTAAGTTTCGAAACTGTAGTTTACCTTTCGCAGAAATCCTTAGTTTTGAAACCCAGAAGACAATCTTTCGGTTTGGGTTGCTGATTAAATAATTTCTGGGCGACAAGAGCAAAGATGAATATAAGATCCGTGCAGAATCCGCATCTTTTGTCGCCATCGACGTTTTCGCAGGATTGGAGATTAATCCTACCTTCATCTGCTTGTGTATCTATTTTTTCTTTTTGATGATGCCGCTACACTCAGATCATCAGAATAATGTCCTTGCTTTGCTGCATGTTGCTAAGACGCAGAAGGTCTTCTATCATAGTTCATTGACTTTGCTGGGGATGAGGCTTCATCTTTTCTTAGGAACTTCGTTATCCTTTGTTCGCGAGCATCGTTCTTCTACAGCTTGAGAAGTTAGTCTTTGGTTTCTACGTGACGGTGTTTGCTGCTTTTTCTATGTAACATTTGCTGCAGTTACGCTGTAACTTATAAGTCCAGCACAGAAAGTTAATATTCTCAAAATTATCTGGCAGCACATTAAGTTGATTAGGGATTTTATGTGTAGCATTAGTGTTATATCTACTGTTTAATAATTAAGTAACCGCGCAATCACAGGGAGACTCGCCTCTAGAGTAGCAGGGAACGGATATTAGCATCTCCGTAGATAAAATTACACTAACTGTGAAAAGCTTAAAAAGTGAAAAGGCTGCTGGAATTGATAAAATCCGCAATGAGATGCTGAAGGGATTAGGCGAATAAGACATCTGATGGCTTACACGTTACTACCAAACTGCGATGACTGCGGGAAAGAAACCAGCGAATTGGAGAGCGGGACATATTGTACCCGTATTCAAGGAGGGAGAACATGAGGAAAGCTCCAACTGGGGCTTTACGTTATTGAGCCTCCCAGGTAAAGTCAACGCAAAGTTGATAGAAAGGAGGTTCCGTAATAACTGACCTGGGGATACAAGAAGAGCACTGTCGCTTCAGGCCCTGTCGAAGCACCTCTGACAATATATTTGTTCTGCGCCAGATTGTTGAGAAATCATTGGAGTACCCCCGTACGGTGTACATGTGTTTTGTGGACCTAGAGAAACCGTATGACCGGATCCCACGCAACAGTCTGTGGACATGCCTTTGTACATACGGGATTGATGGCAAGTTGCTCAGGGCCATCCAGTCATTGTACTTTGATAGCAGGTGCTGTGTCAGAATTAATGGCGTTAAATCGAAACCATTCAGTGTTCGTACTGGTCTCCGCCAAGGCTGCGTCTTATCCCCTATCCTGTTTGTGTTGTACATGGATAGAATAGTCAGGAGCTGCCAAGGCGATGAGGGTATCGGTAGATGATGTTGAGACGAGAAGGTTGCTGTTAGCAGACGATCCTGTTTCATTGGCATCTTTTGAAACTGATTTACTGTGCTACTTTTGAAGGTTCACAGTCGAGTGCAACGTTGCTGGCATGCGTGTGAGCGTATCTAAAACGAAAAGTCTAATGCTTTCACGTTCTCTTGCTCATTGCTCTCTTCAGAATAACGGAGAGGCAGTGGAGCAGGTGAAGAAATTCAAGTATCTGGGAATTTTATTCACTAGTGATAAAAATTTGACGAAGAGATCGACCGGCGAATTGGTGTAGCCAGAGGCATTCTGCGTGAACTAGCCCGACCCATTGTGACTAAAGCAGAGCTCAGTCTGAAAACTAAGCTCTCAATATTCAAGTCGATAACCATGCTTACCACGGTATCCCATGCTTACCTGCGGTTATGAATCGTGGACCATCACTGAAAAGCTTCGAACCCGGGTACAAGCTGCTGAAATGGGTTTTCTTAGACGGGTCGCTCGCTTTACGCGTCTCGACATGGTACGGAATACTGACATTGGTAACAGCCTTAGTGTACAGTTTTTGCTTCTTCAGATTGAGAAGTCACAGCTGCGATGGTTTGGTCATGTGTTGTGAATGATTCCAGAAAGAAAGGCTAACCAACTGTTTCTTGCGAATCCGACCGGCAGAAAGCCCAGGAGACAGCCAAGATTAACCTGATGCACATATATGAAAGGAGTCTGTTCCAGACTCCAGTTGTTTTCTGCTGAAGCTCAGACTATGGCACAGAATCGGTAACGATGGAAGCTTCATCTGACGTGTCTTCGTCGGTGATCTGGATTGAGATGCAGCGATGGAAGGAGAAGATTAAGATGATGATAAGAAAGTAATCTTTTAACTTTTCACTGAAGAATTTGTATGGTAGAATTATGCTAGATTAATATTAGTTTTGTTAGTGCTAAATTGATCTAAAGTGGCTTATTCTACGATTTATAATGTTTCTAGCGAATGTATCTAGATATCGCTATTACATCATAGTAATTTGAAACACTTTATATCGTCTTTAAAAAATTCATCAGTACACAGATTCAAGGTGCTGTATAATTAGGATTGTAATCACAGGACGTTTATTGTTTAATTGATTATGTGGTTTAAAGTTTAGGGGTTTGTCGTTGCAGGTAGATTTACGGTGAACTATTGTCTAATAGCAATAACCAGAGAACTTGTTTTCGTCACTACCCCGGAAGATGCCGAAAATATTGTCAATGTTTTAGTCAGATGTTTTCTGAAAACCCTTTTAAAAACGTGTAGGTTCATGCCTCGAGCCACGTTGTCAAAG